TTAATTTAAAATGTGAATCCGTGTTATACTGTCAATATGTTTTTCTTGAAATGACACACAAGGACAAGTGAGCCCCAAATTAACCCAATCCCAAATGCTAGCCTTATAATGAAAAAAAATTGTCTGTAGGATTGCCAGATGGTTTCAACAAAAATACTGGACACACTTGACATAACCTCATAATCTACATTACATCTTATTTAGAAAGTACTTTTATATTTTCTCATTTATATTTTCTCAATTTGTTTCCTGAACAGAAAGCTCAAATACTGAACAGTCTGGTTCAAAACCGGACACCTGACAACCCTAATTGTCCCTATTATTGAATATTATTAGCTGTTTGAAACTAGAACTGCACTCATTACAAAATCAGTTTGAGAGTTTCTACCCTACATTTATCCCATCACACATTTTAATCCATCTTTGTCTTTTGCTAATAGTATATTTTTTAAGGTAATTGAACATTTATTACTCAGTCAGGAAATGTTTTTTGGCCCTAATCCAGAGTTTTTGCAACCGTTACATTATCTGCTTCCAGATGCTTGCAAATAAAATAGAATTATATTCACCCTAATGAATTTTTGTAGAAATCTTTTTTGTATTATGTTCTTAAGTTTACAAAATTCCTTCTGTGGTCACAATAGTTATTTTGATTTTTTTACACTTCAGTGCCATTCTTATTTAGATCTTTCTTGGTAACCTGTTACAGTGACTATAAATAATTATATGCAATTTCCTATGCAACTTTTGGTGATTGGTTTGGAAGAAATCACTCAATATAAGCATAAAATAACATTTTGTATTTGCACAGTATGATACTTTGAATTTAGTCTACAACAGAAATAATCTCAAATGATGCACTCAATCATTTCAATACATTAATCCATATCTATGTTCTGCTGCAGTTTATCATTTGTAGAAGAAACAGGAGCCAGTGGTCTGTTTTCACAAGTCACTTTAGGTTAATTTTTCTAAAATGACTTGTATGAACAAAACACTGCTCATACTTTTGAATATCCGTGACCTTGAAGTCTGAGTCTATGGAGTCCAAAAACTTTAAATAAAAGTATTTCCTATTGTTGTAAAGCTGACTGGGGTTAGTTATTCAGAACAAACACTCCATCCTCAAACACAGCCTCAGAGAAAACAAAGAAGCCCCAGACCTTTCAGACCAAGGGCACAATAACATTGCCTTCTCACAGAAGTTGTTCAACACCTCACAAGAACTCTTTGTTCTGAGTGCCATCTAACAGAGCTCTTTGATGATTAGCATGGTCTCCATTTTTATCAGGTGAAAGATTAACATCTCCATCTTTCTGCTTTAATAGTTATTCCTCCCACCTCAGGAAATGGGATAGAGAGACCATAGGCTGTAGCATTTAGAACAGGGATTCAGGAACCTTTTGGGTTGAGGGCTGCACACAAGTGAGAAACCAAAAAAAAAAAAAAAATCACTCCCTCCAGACTCCTCCCTGACCTGGTCCTTAAGTGAGAAGAAAATAAAAAACTCATAGTTGTGGCCCCCACTGAGAGAAGAAAAAAAAACCACACATCTTACTACTCTCAAGCTCTACCCCAGAGCCTGGGGACCAGGGTTAATAGATTTTATGGGGACACTAAGTTCTGGGTGGCCCTGAGGTTCCCCACCCCCTGATTTAGAAGAAAGAAAGGGAAGAATGAGTGTGCCTGCTCTGTAAAATGGAGAATGCCTGCCACAGGAATTTTGAGGGTTAATTCGTTAATGTCCATAGAATGCTTTGAAAAACATATAGACCTGATCCAGCACCCACTGATGTCAATTCAAATGGGCATGAGCCCTAAATAAATGCTAAATATTCCTAATCCCCTGCCCTTTACAACTATGCCAAAATATTCATTAGATTTAAGATGATAAATTTTTCTCTTTATGACAATGCACATTGCTTTTCTTTTCGTGCTAGTATGCACTGAAGGGTGGAATATTTTCTTTTTAGACTCTATACAACAGAGCTACTTGACTTTGGATGCTCCAGGGGCCACAATGATACTCTCAGCACATGCCGAGGGCTGCAACCTAAGTGTGGTTGCATATACATGCAAGTATATATGCAAATAGTTTTTTTCACACTGACGGGCATGAATACAAAGATGAAGGCAAGATTACACAACTCGCAGGCCCCATTTAAGTCAGTTCTGCTGATATTAATAAAATGGAATATTTATTCAATTTCCATCCATATGACAGCATTTTTAATGAGCAATGACAGTCCAGGACTTTAACTACTAGAACGCGTATCAACAGAAGACCATTTTATTGACTACTTTTTTGTTTTGGCTCCCACCCGTGGGCTACATGTTGAGCCCCACGTCAACCCAAACTTCCCTGGAGCCACAAACAAATGGGCTGCAGGCCTCACGTGGCCCATGGGCCACATGTTGAGTAGCCCTGCTATACAACTTTTCTACTTTAAGATTTTAAAAATTAGCTATTTCAATTTACTCTCATGTACCTGCTTCTGATGGATAGCAACAATGCCACCGGTACCTTAGGGTATGTCTAGACTACAGGGTTTTGTCGATGGAAGTTTTGTCGACAGATACTGTCGACAAAACTTCTGTCGACATAGAGTGTCTAGACACATTCAGTTCTGTCGACAAAGCAAGCTGCTTTGTCGACAAAACCCTGTAGTCTAGACGCAACCCTACAGGCAATAACACCTTCTGTCGACAGAACTCTGTCGACAGAAGGTGTTATGCCTCGTAAAATGAGGTTTACCAGCGTCGACAAAACTGCTGAGTTCTGTCGACGTTATGTCGACAGAACTCAGCGGTAGTGTAGACGCAGTATCCACTTTTGTCGACAAAACTCAGTAGTCTAGACACACCCTTAGAGTGCTAGTTTGGATTTTTCAAACTCTGTGACATTCAGCTCTTTTTGGTGAATATGATGACATAGTCAGCTTTTGAAAATATTTGTGCAGTTTTTCTTGAGGTGCTTGAATGTAAAACTGGATAAAATATAGACAGAGTTGTGACTCAGAACTAAATATTAACTGAAGTCTTGTAGTTGGAGATCTGTGAGCTCTTCAGCCTGGAATTTGTTCATCTTAATGCAAAAATAATGAAATAATGACTTGGGAACAGTATGTGGCTTCACTGGAAAAACATTGTGGCTCCTGTCAGTCACCTGGAGCTTTGTGTTAATTTAAATCACCCTGTTTGAGAGAGACACAGAGAGAGAGAAGTGGAAAGAATTCTTAGAGCCCTAGAAAGACTTGGATGTCTCCCCCACCCAGTCAACTTCCCAGCCTGGCCAGGGCTTGTTCTCTCCCTCCCCAGACCACCCCCAGCCTGCCTGGTGTCTGTTCTCTTCCCCTTCCTGCCCCCCAACACCCTAACCCTCCCAGCTACCAGGGGCCTCTTCCCCCCTCCCCCTACACTATGGCTAAGGCATGCAGCTGGTGGGGGGGGAAGAGGAGGGATTTGGAACAGGAGGGCTATTTTACCAGTGTTCTGGCAGGGAAAATGGCAGAACCCCACACCTGCTAGCCATCCCTGGATGGTATGGCTGTCCCAATTGGACACTCTTCAGGATAGTTTTTCCCTGCAGGCTCGCTGGCCCCAGGAGCCACACTCATATCACCTCTCTCAGAACAGCAGCCCCTCCCTTTGCATGTTATGGAAAACTGTCTTTTTCTCAGGGCTTCTGATTGTCCTGGAATAACCAAATCCTGACCTTGCTTTAGATTATAAGAAGTTGCATATCAAATGTGGTGGTGCTAGCTCTTACCGTGGATATATAAAAGCCAGCCAGGGTTTAGGAAGAAATTTACCTTATGGAGAAGTTGACCACTGTTGAGTTTTATTTTTTGAAGGGAGGAAGGGATGGTACCTTTAAAAAAAAAAAAAAAAAAAAACCCCTCCAGTGCTAAAATAATGTCACAGACAAGTTATTAGCTCACTAGTCAGAGCTGAAATGATAATTTCTTTATTCCTGGTTTCCTCATTATCTATAGCTCCAAATGCTAAGAGGAAATTATTTTATTGTCCCTATTTGGTCCCTTTTAGGATGGAACATTGCGGTTGTTTAAAAGCACATGATAGCACTGTGCAACAGTTTAGGAGAGGAAGATAAGAATTCCATATCTGTAAGTGCAAAGAAACATGTAAGCATGTAGAAAGTAATTGCCCTTGCTGGAACATGGTCATGTTGCTAGGTTAATGTTCTCACTCTTATGAAATGCGCTATGGGATCTTTATTGATCACAGCTGGTGTTTGTCTACCTAGCAACATAAAATCTGAAAATATCTTTGGTCTGCAGGAAAATATCCTGGCCTCAGTGATGCTAATGAGAGGATTACTATTAATTTCAATGGGAGTAAGATGTTGCCCAAGATTTTTTTTCTTTTACCACTGCAAAGTCAACAATTCAGAACCATTTCTACTTTTGAGACAGTCAGGTTTAAATATGGAATAACATATTTTCCCCCACTGTTCACCATTTTAAATAAGTAATATTCTTTAGTTTCATATTTGTGAAAGCATGTGTGCAAATATTATTTGTTCAATGATTTTTACTGTCAAAAGGAACACTCCTTTTGTGAGTATTGAAGATTGTAAGGGAATTGTGAGGAAGGGGACAGGCAGGGAACAACATTGCATAGTCAGGTGATTTAATTGCATATTCTCTGTTAATGTACCTGCAGTAATATCCTTGGGATGGTTGGATTTTAATGCGGCTAGTTTGAATGGTGATGTGATATATAATTACTGTTTTAATATATCTCTTATGTAAGCTGGCAGTCTGATTGTTTTCCTCTTTGTAGATTAATTCATGCCACATTGATGTTTTCATCTTACCTGTGTGCCGAACACTGTATAATTTACTATTGTGACTTTTATTTATTTCTATGAAGAGCAAAATAAGTACTAATCCAACATCACTTGAATCAAGACCAGAACTGGAAATCTAAAAAGGATTTAATGTGTTAATAATACAGGTTTATTGTTCCTTTCCCAGCAGATATATGGAGTGATCGCTCATTTCAGACCGATCCTGACTTGCCACCTGGCTGGAAAAAAATCAATGACATTGCTGGGATCTATTATTGGCACATACCAACAGGAACAACACAGTGGGAACGTCCTATCTCCATACCAGCAGATCTTCAGAGCTCAAGGAAAGGATCACTTAATTCTATTACCCCATCTCCTACCCCAGAAACTGAGGTAAATGTAGTGACCTCTTGCTACAGAGTATTGAAAAGAAATTGGGATCTCTTTCAACCAGTTACTTACATATAAAACTAACAAACTTTAGAATCCACTACACACATTAGTTTCTCTAAATGTAGCTGTTTGTTGACAATAAACCAGAAATATTTGTTTTTAGCGTCTTTGTCTCAAGAAATACCTTAAAGATTTGGATGTGTAATATGAAAGGAAACATCCTATCTAGTACAAAATTAGACAGCCTGTATGTGTGATTAATGTGAAATGGTGAAGATTCCCTAGGGTACTGAAGCAAAACTTCATTAACCAGGTGCAGGCTACATAAAATATTTACACATTAACAGTCTCTTGGCTAGACTCTCTGTAATTAAATCTTTTCTTAGCGGTTCAATTGGTAGTAGTATCACACAAGCACATTTGAAGTTACGGTCCACATACTAACTACTGAACAGTATAGTTTACATTAAATATAGAAAGCATTCTAAAGCGAAAGCATTTTAGAATCATACCAGAAAAATTGACTAAGCACAAACATTGTTCTTTTTCACTGAATTTTTAAACAGGATGCGCTTTATTTTTAAGTGCTGTGAAGAAGAAAACTTGCTAAATATTTTTAAATGGTAACGTGCTAAAGTACCCATTTCTGGGGCAGTCCTGAGGGATAACTTATTGATGTGTATACATGAAAATATAAACTATTCCATATGGAACAGTAAACTAGAAAAATTGTAGTTCATTTATATTTTTGACTTGACCATGCAAACACTTAAATGTGTGTATCGTCACTTGAATGATTTCAGTGGGACTACTCACATGAGTGAAGTTACACTTAGTGTGTGATGCATTTCAATTGTGGTTCACTATTAATTGGATGAAATTAATTGTTATGGATGTTATGAAAGAGTAATCTTTTACCTTTCAGATAATTCTGAGATTTAGAGGTATTAGAAGGGTACTGAATTTAAAGTGTTCCCAATGTTTCCAGTGTAAATTTTTGTGTTGGAAGTTTATAACTCAATCAAAATTATTTTTCTCATTCTAAAACTTCGTGGACAAGGATTTGACTCATAACATACATAAAATAACTAAATTATGTAAACATAACAATCAATAAGGATACTACATTTAAAAGGAAAATATGAATTTATTTATGCAGTGTCTTTTCCTTCACTGATGATAAAATAGCTTTTAATTGTACGAATCCCATTTATCATTTTAACATGGCGGAGAAGTATGTCCGGGCCTGTCTACACAGTGGGGTGGATGGGCTTCATGAGTGCATGATTTCTAAACTGCATTAAAGTGTTACACATTAATTGGTTTGTATAAACCCTGCTGGTGCACTTCAAAATAATGCTGTTTGAAACAGCAGTATGTTAAAGTGCATGAGAGAACCTTTGGCATGCACCAGGAAGTTCTACCTGGACCAACACTCTTTAGAAATCACACTCTATAGTAAGGATGTAAATGTGTAACCAGTTAAATAATAAGCTTGATGCTTATTGGTTTATATTCATGATTAAAATCCATCTGTAGTCTCAGCTGCTGACCTTCTGGAGTCCTGATCATCGGGCTGGCAGCTGGGACTATGAACACACCTGGATATTGGGACAGTGTGCAGCAGCAGAGCCCTGAGTGTGTCAGCAGCCTTGATCCAGCACACAGGGCTTGGAGCTGGAACCTGGGTTCATGGGGCCCACAGTGGGGATCTCGGTGTAAAATATGGGGGTGCTGCAGCCCCTTCTACACACTTAGTTCCCTGGTTAAACTATAAACTGTGTAACATATAGAATTTTAATTGGTTGCATGGTTATTGTTTTTACATGTTATTTACATCCCTACTGTGCAGACAGTATTACCCCTTTGTATAAACAAGCCCTTAAAAAGATTTGGAAAGTACTTTTAATTTTAAACCTTCAAATTTCAGACAATGATTTGCTATGATAAAGGACAATCATTTTTTATAAGTTTCACCTTAAAAGGATCAGGCTAAATCTAAGAATTAAGAAAACAAAGGCTTGATCCAATAGGTAAAAAAATCCTGAAAAAACTGTTATGAATGGTCATGCTAAGACCAAATATCTAGTACACAGGAGAGTGCCAGATAGATTTTAATATGATGTGGCACTAATCCTGTAAAGATTCTTCCCAGACAGAGCATTATACCTTTCTAGATCCTTTTGCAAGGTTGGGAACAGAGACTGTAGTGTAAAAGTTGCTACCTGGAAATTTATGTAGTAATTTCAGACAGCAAGTTCTCAGATAGTTCATCTATATTTTAATGAGTTTCTAGATATATATGTATATAATAAAATTTTACACAAACATATAATCAGTTGTCAAATTGTATAGGACATTTGTCTCCAAGTGTTTCTCCATTTTTGTTTTGTAAATTTCTAACACCCAGTGTTGTTTTTTGGACTGGACCAGTGCCATTGTAGTGGTGCAGTAAGATACCACACATGTTTTCAGAGTTCAGAAAGGAGGACCTTGCCCCTGGACTAACAAGGTCTCAGAACACTACAAAAACAGGTAGCTGAAGCCCTGACTGGGAAGGGAAGGACATCTTGTGTCACTGACTAGTAATCTCTTTGGTTAACTCAAATGGAAGGTCACTGCAATATCAGGAATTTTGTAGTTAAAATAAAAGCCAGAATTGATGATGGAGGACTCCATTAAGTTTCAGTTGGTTCTGAGGACTGTCTGGCAGGAAGGATAAGCAAAAGAAAAGATGAGATAATCTTATGCTCAGGTGGCACGTAACCAGGATTCAGCACCAAATGTAGTGCACTGGTTGGTTCATTAGCTTCCCCGGGTTGTGCCAGGTACTGACATGGAGTGCGAAATGAATGCTGATCCATGCTCCTCTATTAGAAATCAAAGAATTCTAAGTCCAGTCTGAGTCACCATCGTTTTTATGTTTTGCTTTGTATTTTCACATGTCTCAAATTGGCATTTGATATTATCTTCTGTAACTACCTAAGCTCCTCTGGACAAATCAAGTATAGCATTGGTCTCAGTTTACACTGCCCTTGTTTTTGTTGGTCTTGTATACCCCCCAAAAAACCAGACTTTTTGTGTGTGCAAATGGTATTCTATTTCTACAGCATTTTTATTTAATTAGTGAATTTGTGATTGATATCACCAGTAAAACATTCCACTGAATATATGGATTTTTAATAGAGTAATTTGGTCCGGAAACCTTACTAATTCATTCCTCTGCAATGTAGCAAGATTCATATAACTTCTGTAGAAACAGTTGGTGAATTTATAGGTTTCAGATGAATGAAAGGGAATAAACTGGAATACAGTGCCAATATACAGGGGACATTCCAGTTCAGCTCCATCAGTTAATAAGAGTTTGCTTTATCTTTACCATATTTCCCTTATGAGAAACCCCCAGCCTCCTTATACTCTACTTGAGATTAGATTATTTGTGCTGTTCAGCCTTTCAGGTATCTTAAATAAACATTTAAATACAATTTCTTCCTCAACAACTAATATTTTTACCATTTATTTATTTTTCTTTGTGTCCCTGTCTCTTAACTCAAGTGATATTCTGAAGCATTGCTTCAATCGTAGAACGTAGCCCTGAATTGGGGGTGATTCTAGTCTGACAGACTTCTTTAAGAAAGGATTGAAAAGAATAAAAATGAACGTCAGATATTGTTTCATAGCATATCTTGATGTGAATATATTGTATAAGGAAAACAAGTTAATCCAACACCGAGAGAAACTGGGTAGGAGGATAATGACCATTAATTCAAATAACCAAAACAATTAGACCAAATTGGAAAAAGTGAGGGGAAACTTATGTGCTCTTGATATTTTGTTGTTGTTGTTTTGTTTTTTACTGGTTGCAAGGCATTTTTCCCCTGCATTTCACAGAGCAGATGCTCCTGTGCCATTTTCATCAGCACAGAAAATAGCTCCAAAGTAATTGTAAAGTAAGAATAATTTGAAAAATCCTGCAACCTGTTCAGAGAAAATGGTAAATAATACTAAATATGCTTTTTTCAAAATATTTTGAAAATCTCTTTTGTTGTGAACAATTTATTCTGTAGTCTCCATTAAGTTATTGATTACATTAATTTGGGAACCTCTGTGATCTGTATATCGAATATCTTTTGCCATTTTTTTAGATTATTTTTCTATTGTTGTTGTCTTCTTTCTTGCAGCTAGAAGCAAATTTAGTATGAGCAGAACATGGGAATATATAAAAAATATCTAATCCTAGCATTTTTAAGGTTTAAGGTGAATTACCTAAATTAGTCATTTTGTACCTAGACAGATTTTTCAGAAGTGATCTAACTGATGCTTAGGGCAGGCAGGTGCCAGAGGGGGTTCTAGGTGCAGCCTCTGGGAGGGTGTTTGGATGCAGGGGTGCTCAGGACAGGGGTTTGGGGTTCAGGATGGGGTTTATGACTGGGGTAGGGTTTCAGGATGTGGGCTCTGACTGGACACTGCTTATCTCAGGTGGCTCCTGGGTGGTGGTGCAGTGGGGCTAAGGAAGGCTCACTGCTGCCCTGCCCCTGCACCACTCCCAAAAGCAGCCAGCAAACTCCATCCCAAGTCCTGTTGTGCCCCCTCCCTGCTCTGTAGACATAGGATACTGGGTAGGAGAGGGGACATCTTGACATCAGCGCCCCTCTTCTCCCTCCCCTCCCCTCCCCTGCCCTGCACAATAAGCAGGAGGCTCCTGGGATTTGGGGGAGGCAACTCCAAAGCAAAGGGCAGGAGGTGCGCAGCAGCAGGGGACGGGGCAGCTGAAATTCCAGCACTTGATAGCCTCTTGGCCAAAGCAGTCAGGATCACCTGTCAGTGGCTCCAAGATCTACCAGTAGATCCTGATCTACAGGTTGGTGGCCACTGTACTAAAAGCTTAGTGCTATGTTCTCCCCTACATGAGATAGGGGGTAAGATGTATCTTATCACCACAGTGGAAGGAACTCGTGGTTTGGTCCCTTGAACTATGATAATCCTCAAAAAGCAAGGTGTCTTTCTACTGGCTCTTCCTCACCTAGGATCTATGGCTCCTATAGGCTAATAGTTTAAAAGCTAAGGGCTCCCAAGGGAATGCTGTACTGATCCTATTCACTGCCACTAAATTCCAGGTACAGTTTAACAGGAACTTCTGCAAGAAGCTGCTGCAAGAACTGTTCTATCCAGGAGCTTCTGCAGTGTGGCTGTTTCAGGAACACCTCTTAAAGACAGGGATTTACAACACAAAATAATTCAGAATTAGGTTGCATGAATTTGTGCTGCTTTTCCTAATGTGTTGGGTTAGTAAATCTGGAGGACAGCCAGATCAGAGCCTTTCATAAAGGCAAATGTAATGGGGAAAAAAAGAGATGGCCCAGTCATCTAAATATCTTATTCTACTTCCACAGCATTTGTATAACTCCTATTCAGGTCAATGGAAGTTACTGATACCCTGTGGAGAGAAGGAGAATAGGGACCCTATGATTAGTACTTTAGTGGTGTCTACCTTATGAGCTAGGGATGTGATTCCCGTACTTGTGTACATATATTCATGCTACAACTCACTGAATGAGCTCAAGTGTAAACAGCAGAATAGCCATGAACGTAAGAACAGCTATACTAGCCCGAAGAAACATCTAGCCCAGTTCTACCAACAGGGACCCAGAGGGAATGAACAGAACATCCGAATCTAGTGACTCTATCCCCTGTGACCCATTCCCAGCCCAGACTAACAAAAGCTAGGGACACCATGGAGGTCCTTCACTTTAATCTGTTACCTACTACTTCAGTTTGGCCTGCAGGACTTCACTCCTGTCTTTCCCTGTGTCGTTGGTACTTACATGTGTCATGAGCACTGACTCCTCCCCATCTAGTGTATCTAGATGTCTTAAGAGATCCACAACTTTCACATTAGGCAGACAAGTCACCTTGTGGTTCTCCTGGTCATTGCAAACTCGTCTGTTTATGTTTCTAATCCCCTTTACTAATACCTGGCTTTCCTAATAACTGGAGGTTTCTCCCCTGGAGAAAGAGCCTCAGTAGAAGAGAATGCTATGACATCATCTGGAAGGAGGGTCCCAACTATGGAAGCGCTTTCCTATGTTACAGTTGGATGTTTTTCTTCCCTGAGACTTCCACTCTCCACAGCAGCACAGAGGCTATCTGACCGGAGGTGGGCCTGTTCTATTGTGTCCCAGAAAGTCTTATCTAGGTATCTCTCTGTATCCCTTAGCTCCGTGGTCACCAACCCGTCAATCATGATCGACTGGTTGATCGGGAAGCCCTGACCAGTCAATCACGAGGCATTTGGGACCCCCCTATTTCCTCCCACCCTGAAGAAGCCCCACTACCTACCTCCAGCAACGAGGGAGGGAGGTAGTGCCGGCTTCCTGCGGGGTGGATGGAAGTCCAGCAGCTGCGCACCACTTCTGGGGTTTGAGGAAGTGCACAGGCCACTCCCCCTCCCCCAAACAGCCGGTGCTGTACCACAAAGCAGGTCTGTGGCAGGCCGGGGACTCTCTGCACGGAGGGGAGGTAGGAGACCCCAGAGGAGGCGCGTGCTGGGGCTTCCCTTCTCCCCGCGGGGGGGAGGGAGGAGAGGAGTGGGGGGTTAGAAGTCCTGTGAAGAGGCACGCGCCAGGGCTTCCTTCCTCTACGGAGCGGAGGGGGGAAGAAACCCCAGAGGAGGCGTGCGCTGGGGCTTCCCTCCTCCACGTGGGTGGGGGGTTAGAAGTCCCGAGAAGAAGCGTGTGACGGGACTTCCCTCCTCTGGGGAGTCGTCGTCCCCAGAGGAGGCGTGTGCTGGGGATTCCCTGTCCCCTGCAGCAGAACCCACTGGCACCCTGTCCCCTATCCCCTGCCACAGAACCCACTGGCACCCTGTTCCCAGCCCTCCACTTCCCCAGTACCATGAGGAAGCACCCTTCCCCAATATCATGTCCTCTGCTCCCACCACCACAGTTGAGGCCACATTAGCGAGGTAGGGGGCGGGGGTTGGAGGAGTTACTTTTTTGCATTTCACTTGTGTGGCCCCAACTGACTTTTCTGTGGGTCAGTGACCCCTGACTCAAAACAGGTTCCCCGCCCTTCTCATAAATAAAGACCTATGTGTTTGATATAATATTTTATTTAAAAATGAAGCCTGGCCAACAAACCCCCAATTGGAGCCAAGCCCCCATCTGACAGCAGCATTATAACACTCCTGTAACCGCCCCCCCTCCCGGACCCTGAGCCTATCATACACTGTAGTCCCCTATCCTGAGCCTCTCACATCCCCGAACATCCTCAGCCTTCTGCCCCAACACTTTTGCACCATCCACACACTGAAAATATGCACCATCCACACACTGCCCGTCTTACTCCCAAGCTCCCTGCCCTGAGCCCCTCACATACTCCAACCCAAACTCCTGCACTCTCACATCCACAAGCATGTGGCTTGCTTAGTACCCCAACACTGCCCAGCCTGGAGCCCTCTCCCTGACCCAGCATCCCCTTCTCCAGCACCTCCTGCATCCAAATTCCCTCCCAGACTTTGCACCTCCCACCCCTTCCCACACCCAAATCCCTCATTCCCACCCCAGAGCCCACATCCTGTCTCAACCCAGTAAGGGTATGTCTAGACTGCAGAAGTTTTTCCGAGATTCCAGAGGTATCCTGGAAAAACTCTTCTGTGTCCAGGGATTCATTTGTTCTGCTTTTTTTAGCGGAACAGCAAACACGCTCTTTCGGTAACCCCTATATTCCTCGTTCCATGAGGAATAAGGGGGCTTCCAAAAGAAGGAGTTTTTCTGACATTGGGCCCAGTCTAGACAGAATCAGAAAAAAAATTGGCAGCGTAGCCATACCCTGAGAGTGTATAAGGGTTGGGGATAGCAAGTGATAGAGAGGAGGAGAACAGAGGGCGGGGCTTCAAGGAGGGGATGGGATTTTGGGGGAAGGATGGGACGGTAGATCTTGGCTTGTTCGGACATTTAAAAAGTGATCTTGGATGTAAAAAGGTTGGAGATCACTGTCTTAGCTCTTCCAAATCAGCCTCACTGGTTTCCTTGCACCAAATGTACATGCATACCACCTGCCCATGGGTCAGGTAATGATACATGCTACATTGAGTGCAATAAACTGAATAGTCCCCACTCTATTGCTGGGCTTCTGCCTGCATTTTCTTTTTATTCCTGGAACTTACTACATTCTTCATTTTTTCTTTATCAGTTCATTTTGGTTTTTGGTTTAAGGAAGTTTAAAGAATGTTAAGTGTATCTCTCCCTGCTTATATTCTCCTTCATAACAGAGCTATAACAGAACTCCCCTGTTAGCGCCTCTGGTCAATTAGAAGGGGACTTTTTAAAGCCCTGGCACTTCCTGAGGAGCCTTACCCACAGGAGCTGTAGGGGGTAGCTAGTTAGTCAAGTTAGTCTGTTACAGAAAAAACCAACAAATGGTCTGGTAGCACTTTATAGACTAACAAAGCATGTAGATGGGATCGTGAGCTTTTATGGGCACAGGTTAAGGTTTGATGGGTGCTAAAGGGATCAAAGCCTCTTTAACAAGCTCCCAGCCTTGCCTATCAGGCTGCTAGCCACAGCACACGGCCCTTCAAACAAATAGCCTCAGCACGGGGCCCTCCAAATAAACAGTATCTTTCAATCAAGTAGCATGTGTGCATGTACGCACACACGCACGTGCCAGCAATTTACTGAAAGTCACATAATCGCTCCTCCTTTACCTGGAAAACAGCTAAGCCAGATCTCTGCTGCTGTTACCAGTGCTACTGTGCCTACACTGCTAATTATATTCATGCTAGCTTAAGGAGAGTTGTCATGTGTATGTGTACATGAGCAGGGGAATCACACTCCTTGCCCATAGAACAGACATAACATTAAATGACTGACTTCTGGCATTCTTTGTAGAGAACTAGTGCATCTCTCAGCTTGCTGATACTGATTGTAACTGATAGATTATATAGCAATTTCCTTAGAGACTTTTGAATGACATTAGGGGTTTTATTTATTTCTTTAACAAAAAAACCCCACCTCAATACACAAGGAAGTGGTATTAGGTTGTTCAGAATTACTTTTGTTGCAAGAAGTCTGCCTGTGCTCCCTACTAATTATTTTTTACCATCCATTGTTCTTTTTTCTTCCTGTGATCTGGAAATGATTTGACTCTTATGCTGTACGTTTCCTTTTATTTCAGTGTTTCCAGTTCATGCGATATTTAGATTTAGAATACTCAACAAATGAATCCCAGACAAATAGAAATTCCATTTTTTATCTGAATTGCTATTTTTTAGCAAGCCATAGCAGTTATGGCCAGCTTTCGCATTCAGACTCATTTTGCTTGCTTGCAAGATCATAATTTAAGAATAATCTCATTGTCTGTTTTTGATTCATATTAACTCTTCCTTGTTCCAATCATTTGTTTTGGTAAGTAACTGTAGAAACATCTCCTCCTGACTCTCCCGCTCCAAATACCATTGTATAGTGGACTAACTAGTTGAAGTTTGAGGTGATCTGTTCCCTAACTCATCGTGTAAATATCAATGCTAACAACAGTGTCTTGTGTTTTTTTTTCTTTTGTTTTTATCAATGTGCTTCTTCCTGTGTGAATAATTATATGTCTAGAAACAGCCATGGAGTGATTTTGCTGTACTGAATGGGGGAAAGATTAATAGTGACATTTGGAAGGCAAGTATATTGTCAGATTTTAGAATATTTAATACTATTACCCTTGTTTTTGCATGGCAGTGGCTGTATTTTTTTTCTTCACGAATGTCATTCATAATGTAGGCCAAAGTAAATGGGTATTGCTAGGGATGTCTAGCACACAAACATGCTGCCATTTTCTGATCTTTCCACTGAGAATAGATTCAGCCTAAATTGAGAGGGTAAATATTATGTTATAAAAATAAGATGCCTGCACTGAATGAAAAATAGTTTGAAAATATATGCATGCCTTTTTCAACTTTATCCAGAAACACTCTATGCTTTTTGGCAGGGAGGATTTTATTTCCCTTTGAAATTAGAGGTAATTTGTTGTAGCACATGCCTAATAATGTACTGATAATGGTATGTTTATCTCTAGGACCTCCATGCAGCCACAGTGAACCCAGACCCCAGTCTAAAAGAATTTGAGGGAGCAACATTACGCTATGCATCTTTAAAGCTCAGGTATGTTGTTTTAAAAAATCTCCATAGAGTGGCCAACTTGAATCTGTTGTGATGTGCTATAAACTATATTGACTATAAACCCTGTTTTGTCAATATTTTTTCAGTGTTGTCTCACTGTTGCCTTGTACTCCTCTGTCTGTATCCACCTGTCGTCACCTTAGATTGTAAGCTCTTTGGAGCAGAGATGTCTTTTTGCTCTAGGGCCCCTAAACACTTTGGTAATACAAATCACTAACAATAATATTTTTTCACAACAGAAATGCTCCACAGTCTAATGAAGATGATTCCTGTAGCATCAACAGTGATCCAGAAGCCAAGGTCTGTAGGAAAATATTCAATTTGGATAGCAGTTTAGTTTGTAATTGTAAACAGAGAGCAAAGAGCAAGTTGTCTTCTTGATTTAAACTTAAATACTCAAGATGTTAGTTGAAACGGTAGTATTTTGGTCCAATTCACATTGATTGTATCTATGTGAGTATCTTAAAAGTAGGTATACACTGCACAGTAAGCCTAGACTCGGGATTCAGGCTTCAGTACAAACCTCTTTCATCTACTACATGCAGCTCTTTAAGATTTGGGGTCAATTGCAGGGGGGAGTGTTCGAACTTGAATCAAGTCAGGATACAGGATTTGAGCTCTGTTGTTTTGTGCTGTACACTCAATCTTCTTCTCCTCCTCCCTCCTCCCATCTCAGGGCCTAGGAATCCACCGTAAGTATACCTCAATCCCATGGGCCAACCTCCTTTGTCATCTTTACTCAAAAATCTTCAGTTGACTCGGGGGGGAGGGTGGGGAGAGGAGGGAGAAGCAGTATTTCCGTCTTGTATGTGTTTTTACTGTTCGTGCTTGTTCGTAGGTTTTTTCTTTTCTTCTTTTGCCGCCGACATGGGTCTCTTGTTACTGGTTTTTAGGTAGGGTGATGGCAGGTGGCCTTCCTGGCAATCAGTGAATGCTGTACTTTTCTAATACATTTTTAAACTTTTTATTTAGTCAAGAAAGTTTATTGCTGTCCCTGCATCAAGTCATACAATGTCCATTTAAAATAATAAAGGTAAATATATCATCAGGGATAATTAGTCATTAGTAAGCAAACACTATTCATCAGTACAGTTGTCTATATCAGTCATTCTCTATCACTTGCTTACATCAATCTGTACTATGAATCCCTCCCTCCCTTTTCATAAGCGGTCATGTCCTTCATAAACACACTTCATAGCAACTAATTCCGCTCCCTAAGCACTGAAATACCCCACAACCAGTGAGCCCTGTGCCCATTCCCACTAGCATATCCACAAAGGGGCATATTTGTCCTCTTCCACCGGGCCATGCAAGTCCATAACGTGGAAGCAGAAAGCATCCCTGACTTCTGTTGCATGGATGCATCCTGCTCCAGCTCTGGGAGCTGCACTTTCTGGCTCATGGTACCATTCAGTTACTCCTTGCTGTCATAGAGCCATTCAGGGAAAAGTCTCACCTCTGGCTTCACAAAGCTTGTGAAGAGCATAGCAAGCCACAGTAATGTGAACAGTGTTGATGACACTGGTATCCAAAGAAGTCAGTAAACATCTCCAATAGACATTCAGTCTTCCAAAAGCACATTCAACAACCATTCTACACCTCCCAGGAATGTAGTTTTGTCAAGGCTTCTGAAATCAGGGTACAGTTTATAAGTCATACAAAAGGGGCTTGCAGGGTCCCCCAGAATAACAATGGAGGCCGTAACTCAATTTCTTATTATGCCAGTTGGAGGGACTAGTTTCCCAGCCTATCCTAAATATAGATTTGTGATAATCAAAACACCCTGGGATCATAAACTCACCCTGTGCAACCCATGTTGGCATTCATAAATCAGCCTCTGTGGTCCACAGAGGTCTGTAAAGCAATGGAGTAATACCTATTATGGTTTATATGCTTGTGCTTCTTGAGGAGGGCAAATTATTCCTATCAGTGGCCCCAGCACAGTTTGGGATCCCCATTCTCTCAAAGCCATTAATTACTTTAGGAATAATTGTTATGTCCACTACCTTCAGGGAAACCGTACACCTGATTGCCTCATGAATCTCCACAGTCATCTTTCCTACAACAATTGATTGGCAACAGACCCATGGAGGTCTGGGGTGGCCAGCGTCCACACAATGATACCTATCCACTTCTGGACCAACAGTGGTGCCCTCATGCATGAATTTTTATGCCAGAAGGTTGGGACAGTCTCCTCACAAAGATCCAGAATGTAGCTTTCTTCATATAACAGTTCTGGACTCGCTGCTGGTCATTTTGGGTTTGTATGCCAAAGTGATCATTCTAGTGTGTGCTGCAGCCCTGTACTATGAGTTCTGGTCTATATAAGTGGCTGTGTTGAGTGTCATGAACGGCATCAGTGAGTTTGATGCCTGGATAATCCTCCTCCTCTGTCAGGTGCCTTTGGTGGGTCAGAAAACACTACCAAAATGTCTGCTAGTATCTCACAGAAGTTCTGCCTGTTTTCTGACATAGGAGTGAAAGTGCAAGCAAAAGAACTTTTCAAAACAAGCCTCTTCCACGTTGCTGTTTCTGGTATCTGGGTGCACTTAGACCAAAATGTCAGCTCGGATAGGATGCATTGTTGGGTTGTCCAAACATCCCATAATGTGCATAGTGGGTGGTTAAGTTTTTCCACAGTGCACCACAGTCAACAGACTTGAGCAGCCAAATTTCATGAAGGCAGCAAGGGAGTCTAGTATGTGATTGGCATGATGTGGTCTCCATACTCCAATGGGGATCGTGGAGCCTGGGTTTGAGTCTGAGAGAGAAAATTCTCAATGTAGGGTTAATAATCCATGTAGCTATCCAAGCCCTGGGTTCTGTAACCCAGGGTCACCTGAATTTACACTAAGCCTGGGTTTACATTGCAGAGTAGACATACTCATAAGTGCCAAGGAAATTTGCAGGACTAAATCCTCATTCAAGTGGACTGAAAATGTGGCCTTATGGATTTTGTGTGTGTTTTTTAAACAGATGAAAGCCAAAAAAACCAATGTTATGGCTGCATCTCCTCTTGACACTCCAAACATAACAACAGAGTTCTTTGGTAGTACAATTAAGTTTAATGCCTTGAACTAAGGCTCTGTTGCTACTCTGTGTCTGGTATCTCCACGCACTTGTGTGAATTAAGGACTGAAAGTCAACCTAAAGTCTGAAATTATTTCCTTTTGTGTTTGTCAGACCCTTTGTTGTTGTTTTAGTAGAATTTTGTTTTTTAAAAGTGTGCATGTTTGAACACAAATCTCCACACCTCTCATTTAATTATTTTGTGGGCTGTTTTGACATTCTTTACATATAAATTTTAAGGGATGCTCATGTTCTCTAATTTGAAATACAAATAATGTATATACTCTTTTCTGCTTTGTTATTAATCTACAGTGATTGGCAGGGGTAACATAAGCTTCTTACATGTTAGACTACGTCTAGACTACATGCCTCTGATGACAGAGGCATGTAGATTAGGTACCTGGCATAGGAAAACGAAGCGGCGATTTAAATAATCGCCGCTTCATTTAAATTTAAATGGCTGCCGCGCTGAGCCAATCAGCTGTTTGCCGGGTCAGCGCGGTAGTCTGGAGGCTCCGCAGTCAACATCAAAGGCATTTGTCAACCTCCCAGGTAAACCTCATCCCAGGAGGCATACCTGGGAGTTCGACAAATACCTTTGATGTTGACCGCGGAGCGTCCAGACTGCCGCGCTGACCCGACAAACAGCTGATCGGCTCAGCGTGGCAGGCATTTAAATTTAAATGAAGCAGCGATTATTTAAATCGCTGCTTCATTTTCCTATGCTGGGTAGCCTAATCTACATGCCTCTGTCGCCAGAGGCATGTAGTCTAGACGTACCCTTAGTTACAGTGATACTGCCAAAGGGGGAAAGTAAACTGCGTAACCGTCTTAAAGTTTTCTGTTTCTGCGATTATTAGTCAGTAAATACACTTTGAGTTAACAGGCTGATTGTTCGTTTAAAAAGCAGGGTTTCAAAAAAAAAATCAGTGGTAATCCTAAATTCTGACTACAGTTGAATAGGATGACAGCTGCTGCAGCAATGAGAAGCACAGGAAGTTGGTCTCTTACAGATAAATTTTACAGTAAGGAAAAGATGATGTATAACAAGGAAGAGATATTTGGACAAGTTGAATCCTGCCCCAGGTGATTTACAAAGATTAATAGTATCAGCTTGTTCTGCAGGAAAGCCTGTGGTAGTATTGCTGTAGGTCACCAAGAGGTTTTGTTTCTTCCTTCTCCTTCCCTTGCTCATTTGTCTGCTCACATAGGCTACGTCTAGATTGCAAGCCTCTTTCGAAAGAGGCTTTTTCGAAAGATACTTTCGAAAAAGCTTCTTTCAAAAAAGAGCATCTAGACTGCAACCTCTTCTTTCGAAAAAGTGAGCCACTTTTTCGAAAAAGAGCACCCAGGCAGTCTGGATGCTATCTTTCGAAAAAGCCCTGTTTGCATTCAAGAATGCCTTTTTTCGAAAGAACACTTTCGAAAAAAGGTGTTCTTCCTTGTGAAATGAGGAGTACCGCCATCGAAAGAAAAGCCACGTTCTTTCGATTTAATTTCGAAAGAACGCGGCTGTAGTCTAGACGCAGGTGAAGTTTTTTCAAAAAAAGGCTACTTTTTTCGAAAAAACCCTGCAGTCTAGACACAGCCATAGAATGCAAGCTCTATGGGACAGGAACCAGTCTTCTGTATAAATGCAGCATCTAGCACACTGTTGATGCTGTATAAATGATTAATACTAACTGAGCACTCATGTTTCTGGGATCTCCACAATGGACAAGAAAATGGACTACAAGGAATGAAGTCAGGAATATTAAGAGAAACAACTGTAGGCCCTTTACTTTCTGTATCAGATACTATCATCAGAGCTTTCTACATGGTGTGAGTGACCGCTGGCTTGTGGAGGCATTGTAATGGTGATAGTTATGCCTAAATCTCTTGTTCTACCTGTGTGACTTCATGACACTGACATGACTTTATATTTTCATAGCACCTTTCCTCCCTCAGATTCTTACAACTACATACTGTATAGACAACATCATGATAATTCACCCATCTGTGATATGAGAAGTTGGCAACCGCTTACAGCATGCTACCCAGTACAGGAACGGGAAATGTTGGCTAAGGGCTCTATGGCAAATCCTTACCCTTATTAAAAATACCTAATGGGATCACTAATGCCTGCCACATACCAGGTTTTTACAGTCTTGTCTGAAAAAATGCCACTCCCAACTCCATCATAGTCAGTTTGTGCAGAAGGATATAGGATTGAGAGAACCCTGCTTGGATTT